TATATATACAGAGAGCCAAAATTCTTAAGTTCCTGGAATCTCTTCACTATCCTACCCTCAAATCGGAAAAGAAAATTCTAAGTACGAGTATCACTATTTTAATCACTTGCGAATTCTTCTCTCCCTCTGACAAATACAAGCAAGGCAACAATTAAAATAACATTACAATCTAAATAGAGAAGAATTGCTGAAGGAAGGGGGAAATGTCAAGAGTAAACTTTACCCCAGACTGCTGAGCAATCTTCACATGAGAAACTAAAGCAACGTTGCCAAAATTGGTATCTTACAGAGCACTGCTCCACCGGATGTTGCTTGATGAGTTCTATATTCAAAATAAGCATAGGATCCTTGAATAAAACAAAATTAAACAAATTTCTTTCCTGTGGGAATGTTAAGAGACTACACCAACATGCTTTATGACTCTTCAAGAAGGAGATACAGAACATAGCATTTCCAATATTTGTTTGAGACAGAACCTACTTTTTTTGCAGTAGTTCATAATAACAACTTCCAGTAATAGTTTTCCTCTGAACACAATATATATATTAAAGTATATACATGAAGATAAAAAATGAATTATGTTTTTCAGAGTTTGTTTATCTGGCAGAGCAAGACCATAAAGTTCCCCATCACTCATTCCCTGATTTGATTCAACAAGATTTGCAAATCTGCATAACTATATGCCTTCATTAAACCAAATTCAATTTGGAGTCAATAAATTCATTTTCTCAAAAAAATGAGGCCGCTGAGTTATTATATATTCACAGTTTTAAATATTCACATTGCAAGTGAATTCCCAAGTAGCCACCTGTTCCAGCAGTGTTATCACTGAATAACCAGAATTAATTATTTTAGAGGTGATGATAATGAAGCCAAAGTATTTATCCAAATTAAATGTCCTTTCATGAAGAAAGGGTAAAAATTTTAGATCAGTGATGATTTAATTTTGCTCTTGAATCTTTCAGGGACATTCAGTTCTTCTCAGCACAATAATTAGATGAATGGCTGGATCTTTGCTAAGATGAAGCACTATCTTTATAAATTTTCTTTTTACCTGTTACCCAACACACAAGTCCATATTGTACAGGTTTTTTATGTGCCAGTTCTTACACATTGATTAATTTTAAAGATATTTTAGCTAGTCTTATTATTCTTTCTCTGTATTCTCCCTGAATTAAACTAAAATGGGAATAGTTCCATTTTGTTGGAAGGTTATCCTCCCAACAGGGAGGAGCTGGGCTTGACAGATACACACCACTATATATAAAATAGATAAACAACAAGGACTTACTGTATAGCACAGGGAACTATATTCAATTTCTTGCAATAAACTGTAATGGAAAAGAATCTGAAGACACGTGTGTATATATATGTGTCTCATATATATATATACACACACACACACACACACACATATATATATATATAACTGAATCACTTTGCTGTACACCTAAAACTAACACTGTAAATCAACTACACTTTAATAAAAAATAGAACTTCTGAGAAATGCCTGCTCATTATATGCCAGCTCTTGGCCTCACATTCACACAGAAAAGATTTACACACATTTTTATAAGATATAGAAACTATTTAGTAAGAATATATTTATTTATTACAAATCTCATTCATATTTTTGCATACAAATGTTATTTAAAGGGCAAGAGAAATGCTATTATAATGCTAAATGAAAAAACCTATGAAATTAATAGACGTGTTCTCAAATACATATAAACACTTTCAAAGACAATGTCTCAAAATAGGAATTATTGACTCTAGGTGATATAATTCTCCTTATTTTTTCCTGTTCTATTCTTATATGAAAAAAAATAGTGAAAATTATTTTTTTTCAATAGCGCTACGCTGTCACCTGGCTTACTCCACTAAACCCAAATTACAGTGCTGAAGACACACGTTTACGGTGAAACTCCAGGATTTTCCTCTGGGTACAAAAGGAATCCGGTAAAAATGCTATCATCCTCAGCGCTGACATACACCCCATTCCAATCTTTGGAAACTTCCAGCCAGACTTGGTCCCCTGCTCTTAATTTCAGGATGATGAGGAGAGAGGCCTGGTCTATTTCATGACCGTAGAGTGTTTCTCTGGACCTGAACTGCTTCGTATTCCAGGCCACCAGGCTGATTCGAGCCGGGCGACCCCTCACGGTGACGTGATAGGAAAACACATATGCCCCAGGAATACTGCAGTTAAACTTCCCGGTGACAGGGCTATAATTCCCTTGCTCGTTATAGAGAATCTTGTCAAATCTGATAGGGGCGTTGGGAGGAGGGAAAGGCTTGGATAAAGTGGCACTGAAAGCCGACCGTGGGGCTCTGGCCATCTCCCCCTTGGAGCCCTTGAGGCCCCGAGAGCCCTTCTTCCCAATCGACCCTCGGGCCCCTTTGCTCCCAAGCTCGCCCTTTGGCCCCATAGGTCCCACAAGACCGTGGGGGCCTAACTCTCCCTTTTCTCCTTTAACCCCGGGATCACCTCGGGCCCCAGGGGGGCCATGCGGGCCGCTTTTGCCCTCCGTTCCAGTATCTCCTTTGCTACCTTTTTCCCCTTTCCTGCCCTCTTCGCCTTTTTCTCCTTTCCCTCCCCTCTCCCCAGAATCTCCACAGTAGCCCTTATCCCCCTTCTCTCCCTTGGCCCCAGGCTCTCCGTTCAAGCCTGGTGCACCCACGGCCCCTCGGTCCCCTTTATCTCCTTTGGTACCATTGGCACATGCATCCCCCTTCGAGCCTTTTTGTCCTTTCACTCCCTCCAGTCCAATGCCTCCTCTCTCCCCCTTGGGACCAAGTCCACCTGAAATGGAAAATTAAAATAATGGTTAAGGCTCACAGAGAGGCTGAGTGGTACGCTGTTATCAGAGAACTCACAAAATGAAACAAAAGCACCCGATCGCTCCTGGAAACCTGGTTCTGGCCTCAGCAATGGCGGTGCCGTGAAGACTCTTAACACTGAGCCTTTCATATCAAGCTACTATCTCCCTAAAAGGGAAGAGTTAATGCTACTGAGAAGCCATAGCTTATATTTCCATCTCATATATCTAGTGCGTTTGCTTGTTAGACTTTTAAGATGGTAAGAGTAAGAGAACTAGAGTTGCCGGCTGTGGTCTACCTCTCGGCGCATTTTGGCCCAACCCACCTTCTCCTAAATCTACATACTGTCCATTTAAACCTAAAATCTTACAGGCACAGAAACTGCAACCCAGAAAGATTTGGGCATCTTTTCCCCAAGGACAGCTAAAGTGAGAAGCAGAGCTCAGATATTTTTCCACCTCCAAACTCCTATACTAGTGCTAGTGACACTCCATCTGATCAGTAACCTGAATGATTAGGAAATTATTAGTAATTTATATCTCCATCTTACCTCCCTGAAAACCTTAACTACAAAGGAAGAAAATTAATGGCTATCCTGCACACGTGACTGTACATAATAGATATGTTTTATACCCTACCTGGTTCTCCAGGTTTTCCTGGGTATCCTGGAACTCCACTTGCTCCTTGGTCCCCACGTTCTCCTTTTAGTCCTAAAATTATACCAAGATGAACTTTTCCCCAGTTGTATTAGCCACGACATAACTAATACCCATTTCACAACCATGTTACATTCCAGTGCTTCCTTTACCAAAATAGGTAAAGGTAAAACACTGAAAAAGAATTTCTTGAGCATCATTAGGAATGTTTTATTCCAATTGAAGGTAAACCATGTAAAGGCTATCTGGGGTTAGTGCAGAGAATTCAGTGTTTCCCTTAGCATTCTTGCAGCTTTTCAGATCTCTCACAAAACTCTTGACATTCTGTCTTGCGTTATATATGTATGTGTTTATGGTTCTTCTATTATGAATTCTGAATGACAGTTAAAAAGTCGTCTTTTTCTTAATATTCCCAACAATGCTTGAGAAATAGTGCCAAACACCATAAAAATTGAAACACAGAGCAGTGTTTTGCAGTTAGCTAAAATTACTCATTTTTGTTTGTTTTGAGGATGGAGGTAATTCGATTTATTTGTTTATTTTTTAATGGAGGTGCTGGGGATTGAACCAGGACCTCGTGCATGCTAAACACACACTCTACCACTGAGCTATACCCTCCTCCTCAAACTATTCATAATACAAACCCACTGAGGAAAAGAAAAATACTGTCCTTGACACACATAGAGCATCAAGGAAATGCTCATTTTCATTTTGTTCAGAAATTTTTTCACATACTCTTTGGACAAATTATAAAACTATGGAAATTCATCTTGGAAAAAAATGAAAAGATCTGGGCTTATAGATATTTGCCATATTGCCACCAAATGGACTTCGATACTGGGCCTGCCTAAAGGCCCATCCTGTTACAGTGCAGCCACTTTAGATTTATTTTAATTGTAAGTAAGGATAGCAAAAATAACAGAAATAGCAATCGCTACCTCTTATTGAACATTTACTTTGCACCATTAATGTTCTGAGCTCTTAACATGATTTTAATTTAATCAACCTTTTAAATTTAATACTGATTTTTATTTGATCTTAAAACAGCTTCTCATGTAACAGGGAGGCTCATCTAACAGAGCACTTCTCATCAATTGGAACATTTTTCATTTACATAGTTGGTAGCATCTCCCATCAAGAAAAGTAGAGCAGATATTCTTGTCACTATTTTTACCACAGAAGAAACTGAGGTATGAAGAAGTTTAGAAATTTGTCCAGAGTCAGTCATGACTGCATATAATACTGGTTGGCATTGATTTGTCACCCATATGATTTATAATATAACTAACTTTTTTTGTTGTTTCATTTTTGCCAGGGGAAAAAAATCCTAAGTCAAATTAAAAGTCATGAGAAGAGTCAGCCAAATCTCGTAAGACCAGCTAAAGAAATCCCTCTGTAAGCCACTCAGCAGAGTTTTCTAAGTAGCTAGCTCCACCATTATCATTCCACATAAAATTTTAAATTTGTAAATTAACCCACAGGCCATCAGGAAAACGTCTGTATACCTTTGAAGAGAACCCAGTATGAATGGAAGTGAAGGATCAATTGTATTCCCGGTCCTTGTCAATATCCATATACCAACTTTCACTGGTCATTTAAAGAATTTTACTGCTTAGAGTGAATTTACTCAGGTAATGATTAGTCAGAGTGCAGTCATTTGACTGTTTTTTTTTTAACTTTCATTCTTTTTTTTTTAACCAAGAGTCCAAGCTAAGTCTGGAAGTAAAAGGAAAGTAGAATTGCCACTTTATAGAGACTGGCTAAATGAATTTCTCTTTTTGATCCTCCATCAAAGCATATTCTTAAGAACCTTATTTTATAATACTTTTCTGTTTTTTTTTCTTCTACTTGCAGAAGTCTAACTTCCAAAATGTATAAATCACTGGGGAGGTTCATCACTCATCTTTATTTCACAGGGCTTTCTGCTAACATAATTCAGCCACAAAAGGATTAAATGTTTCCGAGAATGAAAATCGCCTAACTGACAAGTGTGAAGTAGCTCTCTCTCACCTTAGCATCTTTTTTGAGTAATTACTTCACTGACTGTTCTATCAGAAATGAGTTAGGCAGTCCCTGAGCCATGTGGAGGGTGATGTATCGATGATACTAGATCTTTTGACATGTGACACTGAGGCTAAAACATTTAACTTGATGAATAGCTGGTATTTCTGCAGGCTGGTGGTATTCACTGAGGAATTTCAAATGTCCCAGTGAATCTGTACCTTGAAGCATTTACAGGACCAGGGATTTCCTAGAGCAGAACACACTCTTTGCTGATACATCTGTGGAATTATATAGACTTTCTGAGCTAGAAAAGATCTATGAAAGTACACAAACCTACAAATCTTTGATAGTAAACAGAGTATAAATAAATGGCTTGTCTATTCCCCTCAATTTCCAGATGAGGTAAAGTGACTGGTCCAAGGTCACCGGAATAAGCTTAATTTCTTCCATTTTAATTCAGTTCTCTTCCCATCATTGACACTGCCCCTGATTTGAGAGTGGCCAGAGGATATGTCATATTCTCATTAGCAGGTGAGCTATCCACTCAAATGGAATAATCTAGAGGATTGCCTGTTAGTTTTACCTGGTGTGATATTAATCTGCATCATAAGGAAGAACTCAAACAAGAGAATGTAGGAAAGGACCTTTCCTCAGAGTCTATGCCCTGTGGCTCCCAGCTACTGGGTCAGTCAGGTGGCCTATGAGAAATAGAAAAGATGTGTGAAAGCCTCTGCTGTGTATATGTGTATGTGGGGGGGGGGGGATATATTACCAGGCAAATTTTAAATTTCTCATTTGGCTATTTATAAAGTTAACATTTTTATATCAACTATAGCCCACAATATGCTTTACCAAGTTTTTATATTTAAAAAAATATTGATCCACCTGCAAGAATCTGGTATTTCCCTAGGAAGGTGCTCTTCTTAAAAATAATGCAGAACATCTCTTTGAGTTTTGACATGAAATGAATAAAATTACCTACCTTTCTCTCCTTTCTGGCCTTTTGGACCCTGGGGTCCAATAACTCCTGGTGGCCCTGGGACCCCCATATCACCTGCCTTTCCCTTAAGACCTGGAAATGAGATTCAAAAAACATCAGGGTAGAAACATTCTCTTTTGAAATTCATTAGTTCCCCCACACACACACCTAAAAAAAGAAAAAAAGAAAGCAGTCATTTTATTGAGACCAATGACTGTCAGTATCTTAATGATACGATCTGAGTGAGAATAAACCATAACAGAGTGCTCAGGACAGCATTTCTGTCTGATTTGCAATTTTATACTACCTGAATAGATAGATTGAGCCCATTAGTACTTGTCACTGAATTCATGGCAATGATCAAATGATTCAGAGAAGCAGTGCCATGTCTAACAGTAAGAACAAAATGATTACCTGACTCTTAACCTCATGTGGACCACACTTACAAATTGGAAGTAAAACCACAATCCCTAGCACTGTTGGTTTTCCACACCTTCACTTACGTACTCATTCAGGAACTACTGCTGAGGCCTCCTGTACACCAAACCATCCTGCTCGGAATCAGAAATCAGCCATCAGCATTCCAGCAGGCCCCTCCCTCAGGGAGCTGACAGTCCATGAAATGATAAACACCGAACAAATAACCACACAAGTAAATATAACTGGCCACACTGTCATTAGTGATGTAAAGCAAAAGAGGGAGTTCCTATTGATTGTTCCAATATATTGTAGTTTAAAAAAACTATAATGGAAAAGAAGGATATATATATATATATATAT